AATGTAACTCTTGCCTAACTTTGTGGTACTTTTGTGTTAGAATATTACATAATATTTATGGTTGTAATTGAAGGAAAATTTCTTATATAACTTTTGTCAATATATATTTTTTGGACCAAGGTGCATTTCTTGTTTATTCACAATGAAAGTATACATAATAATGATTATTTTTAATGCATTAGAATGAACAATTTCTAATTGTATTTCTGATGAGTGGTAAATTTGCCAGTAAAAGTATGTATAGATGTATATTGATTGAGGTTAGTCTACTTTGATTTGAATGAAGATGTGATTACTTCTGGAATTTCATGGAAATTTTATAAGGTATTTGCAATTTAATGCTGGTGTCTTATTACTACAATACAATCTCCTGCTACATAGCAATCTTAATCTTAACTGTGATCCCCTTGCTTTAGTCTCCCAAGAAGCTAAGTTTGCAAGTGTATGCCAGTTACCATCTCCTTTCATTTTTTTTCCAATTAAATCAGATTTCTGGATCGGATGTTGATATTCTGACTGAAAGGAAAGCAGAACATTGATCTAATCAATGAAAAGATGAATACTCTCAGAATACATTTTACTAAATACTCAAATCGAATATGCATTTTCTAGAACATGCTCACTATGGGAAGTCTCACACACTGATAACTCAGGCCTGTTTGCAGTGTTCCAATTGCATGCCTTATCCTACAGTCAGTGTTAACAAATCATAATGATTTGTTCTACTCTGGCTTAAGGACTTAATATATTGGTCTCATTTTTAGCTTTAACTGTTGTTATTTTCAAAGCTATTATAATTCAGTGCATGAGAAAAAGGACAGCTTAAGGCTTAGCAAGTTGCTCAGCAGTGTAGAGTTTTGAAGTTGCTATTTGGTCTGTGTCACATTTAACCGTTGGTCACATTTAACCGTTGTGTCTTCATTCTGGTTTGAATCTCAGCAGATACATTAAGCATGCTTGTTGAGAAATACTGGACCTTGTCTTAGGTTGCTTTGGCTTTCCCATGACTGCTCAAGTCGGCTCCCTTCTTGCTGTCCTTGCTGATGACTTGTTTGCACTGAAGGGAGTCTGCTCGCCAGAGTACTGTTTGGAGTGACTGCAGCCCCAGCCCACCCACATACTCTTCTTGTCTGCTTCTCCCATCTCTAGTATTATGTTCAGTGTCATCCTCAGTGGTAGTCAGCATCTTATGTCTCTACTTCTGTATCACTGTGTGTCCTGGTCTTACCAGATGTTCTTTCCGCTTTGCTAATTTCAATTATTGCTAAGTGTTATGGATTATGTCTAGTGTTTGTATATTCATCTGACTGTGTTACAGTATGCATTTTAACCTGTGAGGCTGTGTGCTTTGTGGCTGTACTGTGCATTGAGTTATGGAAAGTGTGTTGAAAATAGTATGTGCCTCTGCTGCCTTGTGTGAGGCTAATGTTACCCAAGATGTTCCCTGCCACAATTTCCATCAGGACGGGCCCTGTACAGAGTAGAAATCCTACTTACCATGCTTGCAGTATCATCAGTTGCTCAGTCTTCAGTGACTAAACTTATTTCATCATTTTGTCTGCTGTCTTCATAGTCTGCTGTGCTGAGGGATGCAGATTGCCTACTTTTGGGATATAATATACCTCACTGCAATTGGCAAACTCTCTGATCTGCCTTTGTTAGTTCTTTCCAGCCTAAGTACTGAAATAATGCTAAGGAGACTCCACAGCCCCTGAAAAAGAACGTGAAGGGTGCTGTCTCTTTTATCATAAGGGAAAAAGATCAGCAAAACAACAGGAAGAAGGCCTTTCCCATCAAACTCTCACCAAAAGTTTTCAGGTTTGTTAAGTAGAGATCACGAGTTTTACTGAAATATAACTTACTGTTCAATTCATTTACTTAAAATTATATATAGTAAACAGCCTAGTTCACTTAGAACATTTTATTTTTCTCCTAAAAACCTAGCTTCCTTATTTCTTCTGTTTTCCAAACCATATGAATGACTAACCTACTGTGTATTCTGTTCCTTTTCATATTCTGGCCATTTTTTATCAGTGGACTTAAATGTACAAATTCATGTTGCATTTCAGTAATGAATGGAACAGGGTGTTCAGAAGGGAAGTTAGACAACAGATACTGAATGAGAAAAGCTCCTGGGAGAAGGGAGCTTGAACATGAGTTAGAACAAAAGCTCATGAGCTTTTCATTGTTAAGTATTATTTTATACAGTAAAACAATTTTACCAATTACCTTGGGAGAAGTTAAAATCATATTGGTTTACAAGTACAATTGCTTAGCTAATATCAGTCTAATACTAAAAGGAAGCATGTGGCAAGAAGTCACTTACAGGAATCACTAACCTCAGTTATATAACTGTTATACCAGTAGTATTACTGTTAGTAGCAAAAAGAGCAAATGCATTCCTGGAAGGAGTTAGGGGTAAGGGTCTGGGTGTTCAGCATATCTACCAGTTGTGCCTTCATTGGGCTAACCTGAACAGTTATAATCCACCTTTGAATTGTCATTTACCTGTTGCAAACCTTGGAGGACAAGTCACATGCCTCTGGCTTGTGGCTTGGTTTGTGTCAGCTCAGGCTCACGTGCTGACTGAGTTCACTTCTGAGAAGTGGCTATGTATTGTGCCTGGTCCTTTCCCATCTGCCAGTCAATAATTATGTAACTTAGGTATCTACAATATAAAAATTTGTACATATCTAATAGTCTTTGATCAGTTTTTCTTCCCTAAATCTGTTAATCTGATCAACAACTCTGAAGATAACAAAATGTGATATATTATCCATTTTTAATCCCATTAGTTTGTTTTGAAATTCTGTGTCACTTTTTAATTTTTTTCTATTTAAAATAAAATTAAATTTAAAAGTCCCTGTGCAAATTTTGTATGGATTTATGTCTTCATAACTCTTTTGTATATTACAAATGTAGTGATGAATGAACAATACAGAATCAAATAATGGCTCTACAAATATGGTTCCATTAGCCATTTATGATAATATCTAATGTGTGTGTGTGTGTGTGTGAATATTTTGTAGGCCACAACCTAAGCAGAGAAAACCCATCCTGCATGGGGTTGGCACCAGCCAGTAAGCTTCTACCTGAGATGGAATAAAAAGTGAGGGGAGAAAGTCTCTTTTCTGTGGGGGAGCTCTGGAGTCTGCCATTGCCTTTGGATGTGAGTCTCTATCTCCTTGAAGATCCCACAACCAACTCTTCAACATTCACTGAATGTTTTTGAGTAGAGAAAAAACACGAGATTAAGGGGCAGTGAATCAGAGTGTCTCTAAGGTCATGTCCCCATGCTTTACTCAGACACACCCAGTCATGTGATTACTAATATCTCAGGCATCTTTTGGGCCATTAAATTAGAGAGTAAGTTTAACCATCACATGCTTCCAGGTCTAGGCTTCACTGTGGAGAAACTAATATTTTGAAAGAACTTTGAGTCTCTAAGAAAGGAGCAGCATATTATGCAAAATACACTCTATTAAAGTCTTAGCTAACTCTGCCCTTCACAGAGAAGTGACTGAGGGTGAGTGTATATCACAAATATTATCCTGGCTTTTCTGTTAAGATTAGTCTGGATTTCTTTGTGACTTTGGAATAAATATGTGTCTTGTCTGAGGCATTGAAAATAATTTCTTTCATCTCATTCCTTTACCTAATACTGTGCTTACACCAGGTTCTTCCTTTCATTATTCTCTTTTTGGCATTTATTTGGTTTGCTGCAATGTCTAGATAATGTTTGAAAGGTCTGTACCACGAGGTTAAGGGCCTCATGTACTTTTCTGCACACTGACAACCTTAGGCCTTTCCTCCCATTACATTATGATCTGCTCTGTTTCGGACCTAGAATCTTAGTTGAGTTTAGTGATTCTCTCCTGTGACATTGACTCTGAAGTGCAGTGGCACAGTTGTGATCCTGTTTTCAAACACAAAAGAAGAGAAAGAGCCCATGAGTTCAGTGAATAGACCAGCTCTGCAAAGCTAGGAGCAAATCATGCTTCAGTGCAGTCATGAAACAGGCTGGATCAAATCAGTGTCAGGTGAAATTCTGGGCTGGGAAGGATTTTGCTAGAATCTCTCATTTGGGCTGTATGCAAGCAGATGTGTTATTGCTTTTTCTTCTCCCTCTTAGCTCAGTGTGCAGAAAAAGGATCAGCTTTGCCTCAGTGCAGGTGTTCTGTTGCAAGAACTGTCCAGTCAGGCACTGGCCAGACAACAGAATCCTCTGCCAGACAATCATGTTGGAAACTCCCAGTGTGTTGCTAAACAAATCTTGAACTGGCTTAGCCTCACTTGGCTGTATGAGGGAGGGGCTGCAGGGCAGTGTTCTGGGAAACCTCTGGTCCGCAGGATGATGGTTATGGCCACATCACACACAGTAGGAGTAAGGCTTGTGTTGGCTGTACAGCTTCTGGTTAGGAGTGGACAGAACCAGCTTTGGCAGGATCTGGACCTACCTGCACCAGTTCCTGTACATCGACTTTTACTGATCCTCATTTGTTCCTTTGTAATGCTCTGGATGGGATGAGACTGGGCAGGACTTAAGCATCCTGTCCTGTCCCATCCAGTAAGTTTACTTTGCTGTGGCCAGAGCCCCGCCTTTGTCAGCTCAGTGCCTGCAGCCTTCCTCTGGGCTGTGCTGATCAGTGATGAGCAGGATTGAGGGGAGACTCAGGACACATGTGAAGTTTCAGTTTGGGGAGACTGCTGTGTCGAGTTTGTTTTTCTCCCTACAGAAGACAAGGTACTGTTGTCTAAATCTAAAATGTCTCCTAAATGCCACATGAGTTTGAAAGTTGATGGGTATTTGTAGACCTTCTCTTCATCAGTGAATTCATTTCACAGTGCATTTGGTATGTGAATAAGGTGTTAGGATGTGAGTACTTACTGGAATTTGGTGACTTAGTTGAAAACTTAGTGGACAATTGATTACCACTGAAGAAGCCAAAGAGTTTAGAATTCAATTGTTTGTTTTGCATTTGCCTTCCATATGCCTGAAGACTCATAGTGTCGTGATGCCTGTGAACAAATCACCTACGGCTTCTTGCAGTGCAGCTGTCTGATTTCACCTAGCTATTCCCAGTGTGGGCAGAGAATGGATTTTGTGGAAGCTCTTTGGATCTTAACAATTTCTTCATGCAAAGTGTTATTTTGTTTCAATTCATTGGATTTTTGAGTAAGTTAATAACTAAGGTTAGTATATCATTATTACAAAGCTGAAAATATTATTTGTTGTTCCTTTGCCTCAACTTTTTGCCCATATGATTTCGGGGAAATTCATGTTGCAGGTACTCCACAGCCTTATTCTACAGCCTCTCAGCTTTTTCTGTTGGAAGTTGGCCTTTAAAATTTTTTTGATATAACTAAAACTGTTATTGTTGACTACTTTCTAAAAGTGATAATGGATTAAAATTTTTGATGGAATTAAAAAAATGCAAGTGTGCCAATGATGAAACCTCAAAAATTTTCACAGGAAATTTTCATCTAATATTTTATAGATTTTTTTGCTTTGTAAACATGGAATAGCTCAGTTCATTTTTATTTTTTCATCCAATACATTTTATTATACTTTCATAATTGTTTTTTGTGTTTATTACATCTAGTTTTGAACACTTTATATATGAGTTTTAATATTTAAAGTTGTTGTGTCATCTGAGGGCTACCTATGATAGAAAGTTTATTATTCCCAGTCCAGCTGTTTATAATTGATACGTAGTTATATGTCCTTTTTTTTTGTTTTTGGTATCAGGATCAAACTCCTCACCATGCACTTGCAAGGCAGGTGCTTATGCCACTGAGCTAAATCCCTGGCCCAATATGTCATATTATTTTATACTAGGATAGAGATGTGCTCTGTGATAGAATATGTACTGGAGCTAGAAAGCAATGCTAAAGGTATAGACAAGAGCTCCCCTGAACACCTGAGTTTATGTCAGGAAAACCTGCAAGACGAGCTGATCCAGAACAGCATGCTATCTTCCCCTGCACGTTTCTTTTTACCCCATGGACAGTGATCCTCATGTGAGCATTCCACACCCTGAACCACGCTGTTTCAGTTCAGCTGGGTATTCAAAGGTGCCCTTTAGTTAATCTACCACACTCATGTCCAGGACTTTTCTTTTTAAAGAACTGCCTTTTATTTCATTATGTGATCACTGGAATTATTTTGATACTTTCAAAAGTATCAAATTAATATAGCTTCTGCAGATTTTTTAAAATCAACACATAGGAAACATATAGACCAGTGTGTCTTTTTGTATAAATTTCTATGTTATCTAGCCTCATCAGTGTCAAAATAACAACCACTCCTATACAAGTAGGCACAGCATTGGGACCATAGCCCAGATGTGTAGGCTCTGATCTGTTCTCTCTTTCTTTAACATTCTTATCTGTCTTTCTGATGGGCTGTGGAGAGTTTGACCCCTGCTTGCTGAGGCTCTGTGCATCTCCTGTTTGTAACTGTGCTACTTTGCTTATTGCTGTCCAGTGTGTGTATGTTGTCTCTTCCTTCATACATGAATGTAGATAGGTACAACTTAATGTGTACTTTCTTAATGGTGAGTTTTGCTTCAATATTTTGCAATAACTTTTATTTTCCAAATTGTCAGTTAGAGTTAACACTAATAATGTTTATAACCTGGAAATACTCAGAAAGTTTCTTCACTGTGCTTCAGCAAAGGGTGAGAGCATCCAGGTGATTGATACCCCATATAATTCAACTCTCTCTTACCACATGGATGTCCTTTCTCCCTTTTTGGTGACTTTCCCTAAGTTTACCATCTGTGAGTTTCTAAGAAAAATGTTGCTTTGCTTTTCTCCCTTGGATTTTTCAATAAATGATCATTATACATTTGCAAAGAAAATTCTTTTGAAAACTTTTTTCTAGAAGAAGTTAAATTGTCATTATTTGCAGATGACATGATACTCTACATAGAAGACCCCCAAAGCTCCGTTGAAAGACTCCTAGATATAATTAAAAAATTCAGCAATGTGGCTGGATACATAATCAATATCCAAAAATCAATAGCATTCCTATACACTAACAACAAAATCACAGAGAGAGAAATAAGAGAAGCCACACCTTTCACACTAGCAACCAAAAAATTGAGATATTTAGGAATTATTCTCACAAAAGAAGTGAAAGGCCTATACAGGGAAAATTATAATATACTGAATAATGACATTAAAGATGATATCAGAAAATGGAAAGACATCTCTTGCTCATGGATAGGAAGAATAAATATGGTGAAAATGGACATTCTCCCAAAACTGCTATACAGGTTCAATGCAATCCTGATAAAAATACCATCAACATACCACATAGATCTTGAGAAATCAGTCCTAAAATTCATCTGGAGTGAGAAGAGACCTAGAATAGCAAGGACAGTTCTAAGCAGCAAAGGCAAGGCAAGAGGCATTATAATCCCTGACTTAAAGTTATACTACAAAGCAACTGTAGTAAAATCAACATGGTACTGGAACCAAAACAGAGCCGAAGATCAGTGGAATAGATTAGAGGATGCAACCACAACTACAAACACAGTCAGCCACCTTATCTTTGATAAAGGGGCCAAACATGTTCACTGGAAGGACAGTCTCTTTAATAAATGGTGTTGGAAAAACTGGCTCTCCATATGCCAAAAACTAAAAGTAGACCCATGCCTATCACCATGTACTAAAATAAAATCTAAATGGATCAAAGATCTAAATATTAAAACAGAGACACTAAATCGATTGGATGACAAATTGAGTGAAAACCTTGAAGATATAGGAGTAAGTAGAGAATTCATGAACAGGACTCCAACCACACGGGAAATACTTCCCAGGGTCAATAACTTGGATCATCTCTTATTAAAAATTTTTTGCACGTCAAAAGAAATCTCCAGCATAGTGAAAAGAAAACCCACAAATCTGGAAAAAATCTTAGTGAACTGCCCCTCAGACAAAGGACTTCTGTTTAAAACATATAAAGAATTAAAAATCAGACCCCCAAAATTCAAAGACCCAATGCAAAAATGGGCATCTGAGATGAATACATAATTCTCAGATGAAGAAATACAAATGGTAAATAAATACATGAAAAAATGTTTATCATCATTAGTCATTAGAGAAATGCAAATTAAAACCACACTGAGATTTCATCTCACTCCTGGAAGAATGGCCAATATCAAGAAAACAACCAACAACAAATGCTGGAGAGGCTGTGGGGAAAAAGGAACTCTCCTTTACTGCTGGTTGGAGTGCAAACTGGTGCGACCATTGTTGAGGTCAGTCTGGAGATTTCTCAGAAAGCTGTGATTGGAAGCCCCATTTGATCCAGCTATTCCACTTCTAGCATATTTCCAGAAGAACTGAAAACATCATACTTCAGTGATATATGTGCATCCATGTTTATAGCAGCACAACGTGTATTAGCCAGATCCTGGAAACAACCTATGTGTCCATCAACTGAGGAATGGATAAAAAAGTTGTGGTATTTTTATACAATGAAGTACTACTCAACTATAAAAAATGATCACATTGAGATATTTATAAATAAATGGATGCAGCTTGAGACCATAGTCAAAAGTGAAATAAATCAAACTCACATGTATAAATACCGAATAGTTTCCCTATTGTAAGAAATGATAAGAATACATAAAAGTATGTGGTAATCATGATTCCCAATCATATTGGTTTGAAGCCATATAATGTTTTCACCCACTAATTGGAATGGTTTTAATCTAGGTTGTTCAATTTTATTGTCTGTGATAGTGTGCATAGCTATTTTAAAGAAAACAAGACATCATAATTGCTAGTGCTGATTTAATATCATCTTGTTTTGAAGTCCCATCAAATGTTGTTCACCTGTTTCCATTTGGTTTAACATGTTGTATCTTATTATATTTTACTACATGTAATAGTATAATCAAAAGTTTTTTATAGGCAGAGATAATATAGAAACCATTGTTCATTTTCTGTTAGCTGGTTCTAAATACTCTGTAATACTTTCATTCTCTTGAATGGCTTCACAGTATCTTGATATGTTTGATGCTATAGTATACGAAGTTTTACATAAATATTTCAAGGAAAGAGACACTATGGTGACTACTATTATGTCAGGTTATCTGGTGGTGAAACACAATGATGCTTAAATTGTTAGGTTTTGACCTGTGTTCAGTTGCTATGTCTTCTTTTATCTCAATCTCTCCCCTTTTTTTCTTTTTTAAAGAATTTATTTTTTTTAATCAAGAGAAAACTAAATTAAAAATATCAGTATATGTTATATAAATTTTTTTGTTTTCCTATTAATCTTATTTGAACCCGTGTAATGCTCTCCCCATCTTATTCTGACTGATTTTACTATATTCTGTTTTGTTTGATAATATCAATTTTGAGGGTATAGGCAACCACTTTGAAGGCAATAAGATTTACTATGATGCCCATTATTGTTTGACTATTATCTTCTTTTGAAGTCCTGTAAGGTCTCCAATGTAGGTTTTATTGGTCTTTTTGTGTACTCTTTTGTTCAATTCTACTATACCTGATGATATAGGCAACTCTTTTTAAGATAGCAAGAGGCATAATGGTAACCATTGTTGATCACCTGGCATTCTCTTTTTGCATCATGTACTATATCCATCTTTCTGTTCTAACTGACTCTGTTTTGCTTTGTTACATTTGGTTTTTTTTCTCTTCAAAAAAAAGTTATAAGAACTGTGGGAGTGATAAAACCCAAAAACTGTAATTGTTATTGTAAAAAAGAGAGGAAAGGAAGGTGATCTAAAGGATATACCTGCATGTATGCTTAAGTATAGGATAGAAAACCATATTACAGTTTTTTGTTGGATCATTGAACAGAACTGTCTGCAATCTCACTGTATGAATGTCTACTTTGTATACTTTAATTTTGTAATTTGGACAACTGTTTCTGGGATGACAATGTGTAATCTGTTAACCAGTGATTTCTTACTGTATATTTTTTGCTTGACATTCTGGATTACTTGTACTTTTTTTACTGCTTTGTTTTTTTTTTTTTTCTCTCTCTCTCTCTTTAAATAATAAAAAAACTTTTAAAAAGTTTTTTTTTCTGTATTTTTTTAAGTGTTGCTCTGTGAATAAATAAAGAGCTAAGTGCTTTCTCATCCATTCCATTGGTTATGTGATACAGGATTTTTCAAGTTTGCTTTAAAGAGTCATGTCGTTCTTTAGGAATAATAACAATAATAATGTGTTTCTTTCTCACTGAAGAAAAGTTACTGGTCCGTAATGTTCTGGAAAACTTTTAAGTAAAGGTAAATGAATGCAGAGTGTAGTAATTGATTGTCCATTCTCTCACGTGCCTATGTCCTTACTGTGTTCTTCCACACTTCCATTTTCTTTGGTGAAATATAAAAACAATTTGGTCCTTGTTATTTATTCCTTGTTTTTGCTTGAGTTAGATATGTTTTAGTCACTTTTTTAAGATTTGTGTTCATTGGTCTTTACTCCCTGTGCAAAATCTTTATACTGTGTATTCACTAAATAGTTTCTTGTCTTGTTTATATCTCATATTTTTGATCTATTTACCATTCTAATTCTGATGGTTAGTTGGTTTTCTTTTAAGGAAAATGCTTTTCACATACAAAAACTTTTAAAACTATGAATTCTCAAGCATTCAAATTTGTCTCTCCTATTTCAGTATGTAACATAAATATTGCAGGTAGAATAAAAAGCTATACAATCCAGATTCCAAAACACATACCTGTTTCTCACTAAACATAAATGAAAGAGATTGTGATTTCTTCCAGAGATGTATAATACCAGCTGTATCCACAATCAATATTCTACATAACTGTGAGCTCTCTGGTCTGTAATCAATTCTTGAGGTCTATTTGTCATTTTCTCTAATAATGGTTTTATTATTTTCTATAGTACAATTTTTTGATTCAAGGTCTCTCTTTGTATTTAAGACAGCAGTGCAATTAAGGCTGGCTTCAAACTCAATGCGCTTTTCCTATTTCAGTCTCCTAAGTGCTGGGGTTGCACACATGTATCACCACAATTGGTGGAAGTTTTCCTTTTGTGCCTAATTGTTTTGTGATATATTGGTTTCAGTGCATACAATATATTTTATACATCTTACTGTCTAGCATGCTAGAATTCCTTATATCTGAGTGCAAGGTAATGACTTGGTGACATGGAGCTATAAGATAATTTGAAGCTTTTTTGTTGTTCATAACTGGTTAAGATAAAGCTTTTTCCACTAACATTTTAATTATTATTTATATACCATTTTTGATGTTCAGTATGTTTTTTTTGTGTGAAACCAAATTTAAATTTCAAAATGCTGCTTAAGTGCATCAAAGAAAGAAGCACTTAGTACCATAAATAATAAGGTTTGAAAAGAGATTATCTGTAGGGCATCAAATTATTTCACTGGGTTATCATCGGTCCCGGTGCTTTTTGGTGGTGGTCTTGTAGTCTCCCACTGTGAGGTCTGCCTTAGAGACAGTGCTGAATAACCTGGCTGTGACCCAGCAAAAGAACCAGTGCTCCTATTCTGCTCTTGCATTAGCAGTGAGGTGCAATCTAACATCAGAATTGCTGTCTTTAAAAAATATGCATATATACAGGATGAATGACCAAGGCATGTAATTATGATTGAAGGCATATAATTATGATTGAAGAATTCACCCTCCATTCAGCTGTGTATTGTGTTGTATTTCACTTTGTATTATTGAGACAGGTTCTCTCCTTGTAGTTCATGCTGGTTTTGGACTCACTGTAGTTATACAGTACTCTTGAACTCATTTCATTCATCAGGTCTCAGCCTCGTGAGTGCTGGGATTACAGATATGCATTACCACCCTTGGCTCTCAATTCAGCACATTATGAGAGGAGATAAGATATACCAGGTAATGAGTCTAAACTTTCCTTTGAGAAATATATGTATCGTCCTTTAGGAGGTGGTGACCTTTGAGGATGTGGCTGTCAGCTTCACCAGTGAGGAGTGGGCTTTGCTGAGTCCATCCCAAAAAAAGCTCTACAGAGATGTGATGGAGGAAAGCTTTAGGAACATGGCTGCTATAGGTAAGGTTGACATCTCTTTGTTACTTTTGGTCTCAGAGAATACTGTTTGTTGTTCACCAGTGTGCTTCATTAAAAAGAATGTTAAAACAGTTTGAAGTATAGCTTTAACCTATTTACATTTTATCATTGGTCTACTTGGAATATAATGTATGTATTATTATAATGAGTCCTTATATTTCTATGTCTACAATTCAGGAAGACTTGGGGATAACCATGAAGCTGAAAAAGAATGCAAAACTTACTGGAGATATTTAAGGTAATTTGCTCTCACAAGGAGGAGGATGTTCCTCAGGGGTCTGTGTGAGCAGAAACATGATGGCCAAGGAAATGACATGAAGTTCAATTTAATGTCAAAAATATTCTCCAAAGGTTTATACAGCTTGAGTATGTATAATCTGGTAGTTGCATCATGAAAATGTCTGAAATTTCATAGGTATTGTATATAGATGAAAATGAAAAAAATAAAATTTCAATTTTGACAGCAACCCTTGTTTAGCATATCTAGTTATGGATACATGTGAATCAAACACTTTCAGTATCTAAACATTGCTAATCTTGAAAGTGTTCAAAGTAAAACTGAATACTAGTTATTCAATATGTGTTTCCAAGCCATTCTCCAAAGAACTGAGTCCATCGTGTTTTAAAACTTTTAGAAGGCTGGTGGATTGTTAAGTACAGTCACTGTAATAATCCAGATGCCTGTAAAAGTTGGTCCTTGTATGTTTCTGGGTATATTCTCAAAAGAGTGAAAATCATCATATTATACAGATCCATGCATGCCCATATTGAAAGTAGTTCACTTTACAACCAATAAAGGCCTTCAACCATCTTAGATATCTATCACTGGATTTTTGGATGAAGAAAATTGTTTATAGGCTCCATGTCACTGTTTATTCCTGTAAACGCAGCACTCAGGGAAGCAGATTTTGCAGACTGACAGGTTGAAGCTCTCCCAGAACACCTTAAACATCACTGACAACTTTTCAAAATTAGAAATAAAAAAAGCTAGAGATTTTGTGGTAATACCTGTGTTTTATTTCCTACATTGAAAAAAAAAAAGAGTAAATATGTTAGGTAATCAGCCAAAAAAAATACATAATGTGTCATTTGTCGAAAGAAATATGCTGGTCTTCTTCCCATAAAATTCAGTGAAATAACTCAGCTACAGATGGGAAATGTCACATGGCTTCTCTTCCATGAGACACCAAAATAAAAATGATAGAGCAAAATAAAAGAGAGGTGATAGAGAAAGGAAAGACAGACCTTTTGGAGAAGGGAATGACAAACTGGGTAAGGAGAGAAGGGGCAGAGCAGCGAGGGAAAAGGGATCAGAATGGTCAGTGTGTGATCCATATATGTACCATTGCCCAAAATGAAGCGAAATATTCTGTATTTCAAAATATACCAACTTCAACATTCCCCAGTGAATACTACTCTTTTTGAAATGGCTATTACAAATGTATCCTGCAAGGCATTCAATTAATTATTTGTCCAGATTTCTTAGCTGTTATCAAAACAGTAGTTGCTATGGTAAATCATTAATACAGAGACCCCATTTCATTGTGATTTTTTTCTCTTTACAGAAATGACAAGATAGAGAGATGCAATGAATATAAAACTTGGAATCAGTATGAAGAAACATTTCCTTGTACCCAAGATGGAAATGTGGATGTGAAAGAAACAGACACACACAATGATGTTCCGATCCATGAATTACACTGCAATGGAGGGAAACCTTATGCATGTAAGCAATGTGGGAAAGCTTTTGCCAAACGTGGAAATTGTCAGCAACATGAAAGAATTCACACTGGAGAGAAACCATACATATGTAAACAATGTGGGAAAGCTTTTACGACACATAGGTATTGTCAAATACATGAAAGAATTCACACTGGAAAGAAACTCTGTGTATGTAAGCAATGTGGGAAAGCTTTCACTACACTTTCATGTTGTCAAAGACATGAAAGAATTCACACTGGGCAGAAACCCTATGTATGTAAGCAATGTGGGAAAGCTTTCACGACACGTTCATGTTGTCAAAGACATGAAAGAATTCACACTGGGCAGAAACCCTATGTATGTAAGCAATGTGGAAAGGCTTTCAGCACAAAATGCTCTTGTCAATCACATGAAATCACTCACACTGGGGAGAAATCATATATGTGCAAGCAATGTGGGAAAGCTTTCAGCAGAAACACTCATTGTCGAAGACATGAAAGACTTCACACTGGAGAGAAACCTTATGTATGTAAGCAATGTGGGAAAGCTTTTACGACACATAGGTATTGTCAAATACATGAAAGAATTCATACTGGAGAGAAACCTTATGTCTGTACGCAATGTGGAAAAGCTTTCAACAGGTGCAGTTATGTTACAATACATGAAAGAACTCACACTGGAGAGAAACCCTATGTATGTAAGCAGTGTGGGAAAGCTTTCTCCACACAGCGATATTGTCATATACATGAAAGACTTCACACTGGAGAGAAACCCTATGTACGTAAGTAGTGTGGGAAAAGTTTCACCAGGCACAGTCAATGTAAAACACATGAAAGAACTCACATTGGGTATTAATCCTATGTATGTAAGCTTTCACCACAGGCAGATCTTATCATATACGTGAAAGAATTCACACTGGGGGAAACCCTATGTGTGTGAGCAGTGTGGGAAAGCTTTTAGTACAAACAATCATTGGCAAACATACAAAAGAATTCACACAGGGTTTCTATGGAAAATGAGATAATATAGTAACCATTGTATATTTTCTGTTATTTGGTTCTGAATACCCTGTAATACTTTCATTCACTTGAATGGTTTTATGCTATTTTGTTATGTTTGATACTGTTGTATATGAAGTTATACTCAACTTTCAAATAAAGAGACATTATGGTAGCTACAGTTACTTATGGGTTGTCTTTTGGTGAAATACTGTGTTGCTTATATTGTTCTGTTCTGATCTGCTTTGTTATGTGCTCTTTTGTTTTAATCTCTTTAAAATTAAAAAAAATTTAAAAAAGAATTCACACAAGGAATAGACACTGGCTACATGTAAGCAATGTGGGAAAGCTTTCAGCAGGCCCAGTGATTGTAATATACATAAAAAAAAACTGAACTGGACAGTAACCATATGTGGGTAAGTAATGTGGGAAAGATGCCTGTCCACACACTGTTTGAAACATATGAAAGAATCCTCAATGGGTGCACACTTAATATATATAATCTTGTTGAGCTGGGTGTGGTGGCCTCGGCCTATAATCCCAGCAGTCCAGAGAGTGAGGCAGGAGGATCATTGTGAGTTCAAGACCAGCCTGGGCTACTAATTAAGCTCAAGCGCCACCTAAACTACATATTGAGACCCTGTCTCAAAACAGAAATACAAACAAAATACATATATATATATATAAAGATCTTGTTTTGAAAATCTGGTGAAAATTTCTCATGTGGAGACCAGAAGTAATAATTCGTACAAGATATTTGATATCAATATTTCTTCACAAATGTTCCAGAAAATACAAATCTGAGGTGGAGTGCTCCTAAATTACTATGTGGTATGGTTTTCAATAAGTCACTTATAAATACCCAGATTTTGTACATGTAGGATTTAATATAAAAAATACTGAGTTGATGTAAATTTGCATTTTTGAGTGTCTTTGTGCTTAACCATAGTGTATTTTAATTAAACATGAATTGAAATTCACATTTTACTTTCAAGTATGGTTAGTATCTTTGTAGTTAATGTTTTGTCTTTAAAACTGGGAGATATAGGCCGCCAATGACTCCATTTTTATATTATTTTTATTAATTGTTGGGATTTTGCCTCATGTTTTTGTTCAATTTTTGATGCCTATACTTCATCTTTGGTGTAACAAATGATGTTTTTGAATTTGATGCTACATATTATATTAAGATACACAATTTCAGAGACTTGTGGGCATGTGTTTTTGACAAAGTTGAGTTATTTTTCACACAATTTGTAGATTGGCAGATGTCGTGTTATTCATATTGTGACAAGATACCTGCTTATACCCTAACGTCATTGTCTCTCATGTCATGTACATTGTGTTGCCTGTTTTTTTTCTTATTGGAGCCAATATTATCATTTACATAAACATTATATTTTCTTGCCACCCAAATTTTACTTGTCATGTTTATATTGCATTGATTTTTACTTTATTGTTAATTTTTCGATCACATGTACCAAAAATGAACCATACTACTGTGAATTTCTGATTGCTCCAGACCACTGAACCATAAATTGTCTTGAAAAGCATATCAGGAATTACAGTAATATCTCCAGGAAGTATAAACAATAGTATGATTTATCAGTAACAACACATCAAAAGGAAGTTTTCTCAGTTGCTTTTGGGAAATTGGTTGGTACCAAAATGTATTTTATTCTATTTGTAATTATTATTGCTTTTTCTTAATATGCTGAACTAATGAATGGAAGGAAAATCTAAATTGCGAGGTATCAGTGTTGTAAAAGATGAATTTACTAATTTCTAATTCAGAATGTGTTATTTTTAACCAGTTTTTGAGATAAATCTATACAATACCATTTGGGTGTTCATAAGAACACTGATGTTTGCAGTATGTACCAGTTGCTGTCAATCACCTACACTGACCTGTATTTTTTTTTTATTTTTCACTCTTTTCACTCTTTTTAACATAGGTGTAATTTGCAAAGTTCTTAATACACTGTTCTTGAATACAAAATCTACTCAAATTCTGAAAGAATTACATTGTCACAAACCTATGGTATTATGAAAACATCTGTGAGTACTACATTACTTATCCCTAGTACAATGAGTATAGCTTTATTTAGTATCTTCATTTTCTGCAGATGTAGGGTGGTGCTTTCATACTCCCAGACTGATTCCTCTTAGATTATTCTAAGACTAAGAGTTATACACGAGTAGTTGTCCTTTTCTCTCTCGATCACTTAGCATTTTACCCAAGCATCACGGGGGCAGCACATTTGTTTATAGACTGGCTATCCTGAGCATATTTCCTTTCTGAGGTTGCAACCTTATTTTCCTTGGGAATTATGGATATAAATCTCTGGTTTCATTTTTTTTTCTTTTTTCTTTTTTTTTTTGAGACAGAGTCTCACTGTGCAATTCAGGCTGGCCTTTGGCTCTGGCTGGTCTCGAACTTGCTACGATTCCCTTGCCTCAGCCTCCCGAGTGCTGGGATTACAGTTGTTGCCAACCACGCCTGGAAAATCTAGTTTCTATACGTTAGACATTTGTGGTCATGCTCAGAGAAAGATTTTTTTATGTAGTTTCTGGAGAAAAGGGTGATGAATTTTACATGTTAAGGAGGACTTTGAAGTGACTCCAGGAAAGAGTCTTCCTCTAGTAAATATTAGGGTGTAACAGGTTGCTTTTTCACACTGGGAAAGGGGAGCAGCAGACCATGCTCAGCTCGCAGAATTAGCATTTTGACTTCTTATTGCCTCATCACCAGGACTCAGTGTGATTCGTCAGTCTCACCTTCCACGTGGAGAAGAGATTTAATGGCCTGAATGTGGAATTTTCTTTGACAGTAGCAGCAGGCGGCTTTTTTCACTTTTGATTGTTCTCTAGAATAATGCTGCCTAGTGAATATAGTAGATATGTACATAACTTTAGCCCTTTATTTTTATGTTTTCCTATTTTTTTAAATAAAATCTATCATATCCAGCTATGTTTGTACACTCCAGTAATCTCAGCACTCAGGAAAGCTGACAGAAAAGTATTACATTTTTACAAGTTTGTGGATTTGCACAGAAATTATGCAATAAACCAAAACACTTTCAAAAAAAAAAAAAAAAAGAAAGAAAGAAAGAAAAGAAAGTGGCTGAGGATGTGGCTACACACAAGTGCCCTGGATCCAGCCCCGTCTTAAAAAAGTAAGAGAGCATAGCTAACTGAAAAAGTGTGAGAAATCCTAGGCAATGAATCTAGTTGCCTCTTTCCACACTGCTGAAAGGTGACATCCCACACTACCCTCTGCTATGGAGCCACATGTGCTCTAGGCCGCCCTCCTTTCTGAGTTCTGTTGTCTCAACAGGACAGAGTCTAGAAATCTGAGCACACTTACTGCTCTATTTCCAGGACAGAGCAGCAGGAAAGTCTGACTACATACACTTAGAAAGCACCTACCTGCTCTAGAAAGCAAAGATCAAGTTCATCCTATATGGACCATTTCAGCACCTCAGGAGTAAATGTATAGTACATAGAGGTCAGTACTTACCCTTGAAACTCAGTGCCCCTAGACACACAAAACTCAGTATCAATCAGCCTTCAATTATTGCTTTATTTTTGATGGCCAGTATAAGTTCCAATCTTTTGCTATGTATCACTTTTACTTATTTAAAGTAAGATTCTCATCACATTACAGAAAATTATGATAACTGTGACTAATTGGCTGAGTGAAAGATGCAAGGTAGACTGGGCAGCAGTGTTCCACTCATTATCAAAAGGTTTTCCAAGTGAGTGGCTCTGCAGAGCTTCAGACAGTCTGAAATCCACTGAGGGCCAAATTTCATTGGTCTTGAAAGATTATGTCAGGGAGGGAGAGAATCCTCCTGAAAGTGGCAATATTTGAATGAAAGCTGAATGTTGTACATTTGAGACTCACACAAGAGTTCATTGTCAAGGAAAAATAGCAGCATGTAAATTTTGGGAACATGTAGATGGAAGTGCTATATTACCTTGTGACAAGATATTGAGGGGTATTGGAGTAATTTCTCAAAAAGCATGGTGATACACCTCCTCAAATCATTGTGATCACCTAGGGATATAACTCAGTGGCACAAGCACTTGCCTGGCAAGCACAAGGTCCTGAGTTGAATTCCCACTGCTAAATCATTGTGAGTATTCTTCATAAGTTTATGTAAGTCAACATAAACAATTGAAATTGGTAGCTAATAACAGAGGCCTCCATGAGCTTGCTAAATACAGTATAACAGGAGTCCAGGTATTTCTAACAGTTCATTTATTTTAACCACAAAATCATCACCAGATGCCTGTTTGCACTGAGGCAGGTCTGCCTGCATGGAGGAGACTGGATTGTAGTTGAAAGCAAAGGTTTTGATATGCAAAAAAATACCAGAGTCAGACTAAAGTATGTATATATAAACACTGAAGAGCAGGGAGAGAAAAAACTCATTTACATAATTAAAGAAATAATTGATGTATTTGGAAATTTATTTAGGACATATATCTGGGTACATATATTACAGGTACAAAATATCTTACATACAGAATTTAAGAAAAATACATTTATTTTGTCTCATTGCTTGAGCAGCCACAGTCTGAATTTCAGCACTTCCATTGCAGAAATAACTTGGAAAATAGAAATGAAGAAAGCAAGGTAACTCTTTATGAGGTCAAGGAAGCAGGAAGGCAGGGAAGAAGCCTGAGATGAAGGATTCAGGGACCAGATTTGGTCTATCAGGTCAAACTCACATACGCCACCAGACACACCCATGGGTGTAATTTACTAATACCCTACACATCTGTAAGCCAAACAAGTTGTTAACAAGTGTATCACATGGTCCAGGCAAATATCCTTCTAGAACTACCGAAGTCCTAAAATGGTTGAGTTTGAAATTGTGAAGAGAGAACTGTAGGGCATGGAGAGCTAAAGTTTGAAGTCTTTATGTTTTCCTGCTTTATCACAAGGAAATGGTTGAGTGGATAGGAAATGTGGCCCTATTTCAGCAATCATAGTGACCTTCATGCTTGGCAATGTGCTCACTTTCACAGTTCAGGATTTTTATGGCCCCGGATGAGTAGCAAGCTTTTCTGGGATAGTTGAAATATTTGCTTTCTTTTGGAGATTATTGCTATCATTTAACTCTAATTTCTTTAACAATAATTGTGTTCCTTTTCTGAGCACATATTGTATGGAGGGGGGCTGAAAATGAATATATGCAGGGAGATAAATGTGAAAACCTTGACAATGAAGCTTGCGGCTTCACTCCAAAGACTGACCTATTAAACAGTCTGCCCTTTTTATAGTCGACTGTGTCTTGGCCTGGCGTGGACTCAGGATGTTTTTTTGACATCAGGGGATTGATTCTTCCCTACAATATTGCCCTTAGAAACTTCTGAGCACTTTTGTAACCCATTTTCTGTAAGAGTCCATGGAGTCCTTTAAGAAAACAGGAGCAGTACTGAAAAGGCAGGTGTATCAATGCAAGTATCCATTAGACCAGGTGAGGTCAGTATTGTAGAAGACAGCCTGGTTCAGGAGTCCGGGCACCGCAAACTTTCCTTTGTGATCCAGTGTTGCAGATAGGGGTTTGTTTCTATCCGCATTCTTGGCCGGGTGGGAGGGCCACAGAGCAGGAGCCAATCAGTGAGGAGCCAGCAAGAGGCGTGAACTGTCCAATCAGGTGAGCCAATGTAGCAGCCTCTTCTGGTGTCATGGCGTCAATTGCGTTTTCTGAGGGCAATCGTGACAGAGGAAGTCTTGCTAAACCTCGTTTTATGGATTCTATTTACTATCCTGCTTCAGAAAAAACCTGGGAAACCTCAGGCCACGCAATGGTAAAGTTACGGGATGGGAGCCTGAAATGGGATGAAATTTGGGCGATCCTCGTTAGAAGTGGTCAGAAGCAGCTGTGGTGCCTAGAGCCTCGTACTTAGCTGTAGATCCCGGAGGTCCTTCTGGACTGACAGTGAGTCATTATCTGTCGCTTTTGCCCCTTGCTGGGGCAAGATTCGTTTGTGTCCCCTGACCCCTGTCCTCACTGTGACTCTATCAGCTCACCGTGGCGTCTGGGAAGCCTCCTGCCCTCGCATCTGCACCAGATGAGGAGAGAAGGGGGTTTGGGGAGACCCTGACCCAGATAGGATTTGAGCTGAGTGCACTGTGGTGAGCTAGGTCCTCGTTGGCATTCTTGTCAGCAGCAGCTCTGGAGGATCAGAAGTTTATACATGTCTGTGATGCAGGGCACACAGCCACGACTCTTCTCCTTAAAGTTCAGCTTTTTTATCTTTATAGTGACCCCCTACATTTCCAGTATGTCCTCATATTTCCGCACTCATAATGAGTGTTGACAGAAGTTCTGGAAATTGAACACAGTGGGTGATATGCCTCAGTGGTGGAGCACTTGCCAGACTCCTAGTGAAATCCTGTGTTCCATACAGAGCAGTGCAAATGAAATGTCTAATCTAACATAGGTGACATGCCTACTGACAGACTACGTGAGAACTATCTTAGAGTTTAGAATTCTGACCAAAGTGGAGCAGATGTTAAAATATTAATCAGGGGAGGGAAAAGTGTACTTGACCAGCACAACTTCCAAGGATAGGCTGCCTATTAAACTCATGCTGAGAAACCCTTGCATTGGGGCATTTACATGGACATATATGTGTGATATGGGTAGGAATGAAAGGGACGGGGGTTATCTCTGAATTAATGGCTATAGAGCTAGGGCTGATCATAGACATTGTGTAAATGCTAAAATGCTCTCTGAGATAGATTTCAGCAGGAGCTCTAGTATAAAGAAGCCCCAAATACAAGTTGTGCAGGGATAGTAAAGGTTAGCATGAAGGGTTTTCTGCTAGAATTTCTGATAGAATTTAATGATAGAGAAGTGTGTACTGTTATCGCTGATCTGTTCATGTTACCGGTTTTGGGTTTTTTGTTTTTGCTTTTTTCTTTTCTTTCTTTCTGTTTTTTTTTTAGACTGAGTCTGATTTTATAGTTCTGGTTGCCTTTGAACTCTCTTTGTAGTCTAGGCTGACCTGACACACATAGCAGTTCCCCTACCTCAGCCTTCCAAGTGCTGGGACTACAAGTGTGTGTGAGCACACCCAACCATAGAATCATTTTTGAAGCAAAATCAGAAATTAGGAAACAGTCTGGCATTGGTGTAGGTTAAATTATTTGGTGGACACCATCAGTGAATTAAAATGAAAGGGATTTCCCTGGGACATAGAAGATTTTAAGGTGTACTTGATGATTTTATTATAGAAAAAACTGGAAATTTGATGAACTATGTACCCCCAAATTTTCAATTTTTGTTTTTAAAATTTGAGATGATGTCTTACTATATTGCCCAGTATCTTTTGGTAGATTTTGAACATTATGGACTGTTGTTTTGACAAGTATGTGCCATTATGCCAGTTTAAGACTGAGGTTCTTTATTTCATCTGATTTACTATGGTTTCAATGTTTTCATAAAATTTCTTCATTTTTAAAAAAAATTTAAAAAAATTGATATAGTGTCTTGCCATATAGTTCAGTCTGGCCTTGAACTCATTATGTGGTGCAGGCTGGCCTTGAAGTAATGGCAATCCACCTACCTCAGTGTCCCCCAGAGTGCTGGGATTACAGGGGTTCACCACCACAGCTGGGTAGTGCTTAGGTAAAGTAAAAATTATGAGCCGTGGTGGTTCACCCCTTTACTCTTAGGTACATGGGAGACAACAGTGCACCAAACCTGGACAATCAAGCAAGATCCCCTTTCAGTATGAAATATAAATTGTGTGATTTACCTCCACCTAACAGTGAGACATTTAACATGCCCTGGCCTGGTGATAAATATCTAGTAATGAACAATCAAAGAAAACCAATTCAAAGGAAATCTTACCTTAAGTTTTTTTTTTTTTTTTTTTTTTTTTTTTTTTTTTTACTCTTTTTGCACACTACTGATATATGGTACAATACTTGCTCATAATAGTGGACAGCAGTAAAGAACCACTTCTCAGCAACAGGACAGCAGTGTTAAACAAGCAGAGATTTGAAGCACACTGTATTCAATAGGTGCATGAGTGGTTCAGTATTTTTTATTTTGGTCTTGTGTTACATATATATCCCTAAGCCAAGATCAAGTAAGTGTGTTGAGCAGGTTTAAAGGATCCAAAGCTTAGCAGTAGTGTTTTTTTTTTGACCATGCATATTCTGTAAATTTTCAACACATTTTCTTTTGAACTTCCTCTGGATTGATGGTGTTATTTTGTCTTTCTCAGTCATGTAACGTTAACTCTTCAAAAAGTCCACTATAAAACATAATAACTTCAGATTGTTACCTCTTTTGAGAGCTCTATTAATCAGGTTGCCCAGATCAGCTGACTCAGAAGAACAATATCAGTAGTGTTTGGAAAAGGGAGCACTATTCTGGATTTAAATTTTTGTTTCTTTGTTTGCTTTGATTTGGTTTGGTTGTTTTTATCGTTTTAACATTATGGAGAGGTGCCCCAGTCTGATCATACTGTCTGTATTTCATCAGTATAAAGGGGTTTGAAGAGTGAGTTTTCAATGATCAAACACTCAAACACAGGCCTGAGTACCTGGAACACATATCATCAAGCATGTGTGTGGCTGAAGAGAAATCACTTCCATTCCTAGTTCTAATTATGCTGACTTTGGAAATCCTTCTATTTGAACCTCAGGTAAACATGTATCTTTCTATTCTAGATAGTCAACTCTTGTAATCCCACTTGCATTTCCATCACATTAAAGAGTTGAAGGCATTTCTGTCCAATAATATTACTTATCAGTAACATTTTTGTTTTATTTTTGCAGTAATTCATATCTCCTTGGAAAAAGAAATTACTTAGTTCCATAAGTTCCAGTTGACAGCAATCCCTAAGCAATCCCCCTAAGTTCTCTTGATTGCCCACATACTGAAGACAGACCTTCCATGTTGGTATCCTGGAGATTCCCATGGGAAAGGTGTATGCCACAGCTGAGATAAAGCACAGAGCTTCAGTGTAAAGCACCTGTCAGTCTGTCTGTACCCCCCTGGGGAGGGGTGCATCATACAGCATGAAGCAGTGGAGCCTGTTCTGAATTTTCACACTTGTGACATCTGAAATATAGTTCAAATGGTGAGGAGAAGGAGAAGGTGTGCAAGTACAGACAGAGTACTTTGTGTGGAGTCACTGAGATTGAGTTTGGAGGTGCAGAGCTAGCAATTTGGCAGGTCTTAGAATCTTTGCCCATTTCCATACCTTGTCACTGAAGAGCTTGTATGTCCGGTCCACCTACTAAGTGAATGATTTTCCAGCAGTGGAGATTATGAACATGAGGAAATGTGAATGTGTTTCAACTTTTTCTTGTAATTATGACACAGAGTGTAACAAATATTTAGTACCATCTTGGAGATGGAGGTCAGGAATATTAACAATATCATATCACAAACAGAATGGCCCTTATTAGAAGGAAATCTTGTCCCTAAATGTCACTAACAGTAAGCACAGCATAATGCTGTGCTTGACAGGCCTGTTGTTGTAGGTGTGTTTTCTTTCCACATTGATCCCTTGCTTTTTACTACTACATTGTACTCTGTGGCTTCATGTACATTTTTTACTGTCACTGTAGACCCTAGATACTGCTGAGCACTATTCTTGTGCTCTAACAATGACCTACACTCCAGCCTAGTGTGTATGTGTGTGTATATATATATATATATATATATGTATATTTATATATGTATATGTATATTAGTGTGATCAAAAGTTCACTTGTCGCCAGCCACCTGCACTCACCATCGGCCAGATTCATTTCAGGTGAGCACTTCCCAGGTAACTCTTGGCACTGGGCAGCCCCAGTCTGTTGTACTCCCCGTTCGCATGGGTCTGTGCATTTTCACATCCTTAGGACAGCCCAGGGAAGTGTTCTTTCTGGGCAAACCTGTGTCCACACTCTTAAAATCTCTCATGTTCTTTTGGTTCGGATAGCCCAAAGCAGAGATTTTTGGATTGCCCACACTGAAAGGCCCTCACTTCCCTTAAAGCCTCGTGCTTTCATGGGCAAAACTGTTACTGACCCCACATGGGCTCCACTCATAAATCTCTCAGTGATGACTTGGAATATATGAGTTTTTGGAACCTTAGCCGCCATGTGGTGCCACAAACAATTGATGGCTTGTTCTGGACCACGGGTTATTTCTTGCCTGAATCAGTGATTGGAAACGTATTTTCTAACTCCCAAAAGACACCTTTTCAATGGCTAATTTCCAATTTATGTACTTTAAAATTTAAAAGTACCATGAAAACTAAACAATTAACTTTTTACTGCCAGGAGGTCTGGCCAACCTACCCACTTATCGGCAAGCATTGGCCCAAGGAAGGAACTTTTGACCCCTGCATTTTCAGAAACTTGTATTTCTGTCAGGCTGGTGACAAGTTATTAGAACTTCCTTATATTCAGGCCTTCCTTATTCTGAGAACATGCCCACCTCTCATTAAGTCTTGTGCTTCTGCTCAGATACTTTTAGCTAACTCTACTGCATCGCAAACTTTTCTGTCCTGCCCTCAGGATTCGCTTGAGGACGTTCCTCCAGTGTTTTCTCAGCCACTGCCTGCCTACCACCAAACTCATTCCCTGCCATTACCTCCGCCAGACTGCTCTCCCCTCTCCCTATGCCTGATTCTCTCAGCAGTCCTGGTCCCAATGTGTCGCAGTTACCTCCCACTGTGCAATCGTCTCCCTCTCTGCCTTCCGGGACCCAAAACTCTCCCAGCAACTCTAATCACTCTATTAGCACTTCCTCAAAGTCTCCGACTCTTTCTCCTGATAATTCTCTATCCCCTACAGCATTCTCACCACCCACCCACCACACTAGGTCTTGGTTGCTATGTCCTTCCAGAAGGCCACATGATTGTTCAAGATTGCGCTGGGAACAGTCACCATGTTACAACCCTCAGCCACGTGGCCAGGCACCACCATGTTCGCACGGGCCTCACTGTCATGAGCGCCCCCTTGTGGCTCCTCTTGTAAGCTGCAACAGCTGCCCTGCTGCAGTGCACATCACGCTTCATTGTGCTGCCAACAGCAATCCTCTCACTGCTAGGCACACAGTGAGATGCCAGCTGCCTGTGTTTCCCAGGGTGACCAGCAGCAGCTCTGTAGCCACTCTACAGATGATTGCTCACACATATCTACTGGATGGATGGCTGCCCAATGGCCCTCTGCTCTGGAATCTTCTCCTCAGGCTCCACTACCACTTCGGGAGCAAGCTGGCCCCAAGGGATGTTAACATCCATGTGCCTTTTTCCCTTTCTGATCTATCTCAGGTTACCCATAAATTAGGTGGCTTCTCTGTTGACCCACAGAATTATATCAGGCAATTTAAATTTATTACTAATTGTTATGATTTACATTTTAAGGATGTTTATGTGATTCTAAATACTGCCCTTAGCTCACAGGAATGAAATCAGCTGTGGTAAGCAGATCAAAAAGAAGCTGATCACAGACATAAGGTAAACACCGCTGATAATGACCCTGGGCCTATAGCTGTGCCAGAGCAGGACAAGCATACTAACTATAACAAACTTTTAAAACAGGTCCAGAAGGCTAATCAAAACCCAGCTGTGTTCCTAAATTGGCTTTCTAATCCTCATGCCCTGTGAGCAGTTCCAGCTTCACACAATGTGTGGGGCCATGCCCGAGCCCCTCCCCCATGGGCCATCCCAGCCCCTCCGTCCCCTGTGTGCCATTGTTGCCACCACCTTACAGGTTTCTGAGGGCAGTCCCAGCCTGCCCCTGCTTGCTACGTCCCGATGCTCACCCCACCCCCACCCTGGGCATGCTCTGCTGGCATGCCGCAAAACAGCATCTCAGCAGCTCCACTCAGACATGCTTTTTTTTTTTTTTTTTTTTTTTTTACAATTTGGCTCTGCCCAAAAGATGCTATTTTTTTATTACAATTCTCAAACCATTTAATCAAGGTTATTGGCCACCTGATAATTTTACCAGCCTTGTTTATCAATCAAAGCCTTGACTAATCTCCTGTCTTAATGACTAAAATTAAGAGATATTTATCAATTCCTTTTCCTGTGGACCACCAGTAATGTTATATGTTAAACTTATTACCTGTATTATACTGTGTTGTTGTCAATCTCCTGTTTAACAACTAAGGTTATAAATTACTTTTTGCTAAAAACCACTAGCTCTATTTGAAAACAAGGGTTTTCTTCAAAGTTTTATTTTATTTGTCTTGGTTCATATTACTTCAAATAACAGATTTATAAAGAAGTAAACATGTTCCAAATGTGACAGTATTAGATTGGTTTTCATAGATTTATTCATAAGGTTAATAAACCTTTACTGCAAAATGTTTCCATTAAGATTTTACTCCAAAAGACAAAAGGCAGACTAACGCCTTTTTGGGCAGACTAAAGCATTTTTTGTTAATTCCACGTGTCACCCTATAAAAAAGCGATATGCCATCTAGTTAAAGCCTGCTCTATGATCAGAAATGCCAATATTAAACTCCTGCATACTTACTTAATTCTACAGATACCTTTTACTATAGTCCAAATCCCAAACAAAAAGGCAAAATTTGACCTTCAAACCTTATAGAGATCTTAATATGGTTTTTATGTTTTCAACAACAGAGATAACAATAACACTTGTGACACTTGGAGTTCTGAGAAAGTTAAACCTCTCCAAGGCAGAGCTGCCTGCCCCCCCATGGACCATGCTCAAATGCAGCAGAAGACATTGCGCAACAAAATGCCCCATCCTGGCATTCTTTGAGACCTTACTCCAGGGCTGCTGGAGTGTCCTAGCCACCAGAGAGTGGGTAAGCCATCCTAACTTCTAGCCTCCCAGGAAATGTCGACACTGCCAGGTTCCTTGCCAAGAGAAAATTGCTGCCGAAGACTGAGGGGGATCAGGCAACAACAGGTCCCTTTAAAGTGTCAGTCTCAGAGTCCAAGTCCCACTAAGTCTCAGGTAATACAATTCTCTGTATTTGTGGACATAGAGGCCATATATACAGAGGTCTTCCTGAATTTTCAGTTTGCTATATTAAGTCCTCAATCTCTATGACGGGGTATTGATGGTGAACCTATGCCATTTATAAACAGGGCCTATTTCGTGCAGGTCCCCGTCCTAAATCTTAAAATGCTTTCACTCCCTTGTGCTTATGCAGGCTCACTTAGACACACTGACACCTCAGCACCTTCCAGCTGTGGTTGCTGGTGTACCCCTCCTCAGTGATATAAGACAACTCCCTTCCTTGCTTATTCACCAATTTGTCATACAACCCTGGTCAAGACTGACAGATACATTTTGTCTTCTCACTTTGTTTATACTTTTTCAGGGTACCTAAAAGCCTTTCCCACAACCAGGTAAACTGCTGATACCACCAGGGTACAGTGACCCATGCCTAAATCAAATTTGCTAGACTGCCATTCTGGTTTTGAATCACTCAAGCCCTAGATCTAACCATCCTTTTCCTACTCATCTCTGCCTTAACAAGGCCTCATGGCCTCGACTCACAGGTTGTGATGTTTTGTTATCCACTTTGGTTCCTAATTTCTTACATTCTATTAATGATCGTTTTTACAGCAGAACTCTTAAACAGTATTGCCTACAGACTCCAGCGTCATGCATACCAGAGACTAGCCTTATCAACCTAACCTCTTAACTTTTATGCTTTCAGATGGGGGAGTAATCACCTCTCATAACTTCACTCCTTCTAATCCCACATTTAATTTTCAGAATTCTGCCTTACCGTGGAAATGTTCCTACCTCAACGTTCTCCTGATACAATGACATGTCTAAATCAAAGGCACCTATCCTTCTACCTCACCTGGGTCCTTAAATATGACAGTGCCATGTCTCCTTATAACATCTTGTCTCTTTGTTTTTCCAGTCTAACATACGTGCATTCACCACTGAAGTTGTCCTGGCTAAAACACCTGGCACCAGCTTCTACCTGGGCATCAACCTTCATCCCGTTGACTCCCCTAAGCTCCAGTACAGCGCCCTCTGCCAGCAGGAAGTAGTTAAAGAGGGAAATCTTTGCTCCTTTTCATAATAATAATCATAAGACGGGATATGAAAGGGTTTTGGCCCAGACAGGACACTGTAGCCAGGAAAGCCTCAAGCAGAAGCAGGAATCCCCTATCTCCCCCACCTAGGAATTTACCTGTGACGCCATCTTCCCACCTCTGGGAATTTACCTATGGCGCAAAACATAGGACCAATGGGCTACCTGTGCATCCCTAATGCCCGCCTTAGGTTCCACCCCAAACCGAGGCTACTTACATACCCCCACGCCACAGAGATCGCCAGACTCCAGTGGTGGGGGGTGCCGGTCATCTTTCTCCATGTTCTGCAGAATAAAGGCCTCTTTTTGTTTTGTACTTCTCATGTTCTGGAAATATTTTTCATCTTTTGGAAATAATCCTATCAAAATCTAAGTACATACATTTTCTTCCCAATATTCATATCATAGTCTTTAATTTTTTATGTATTAATTTTTGAAAAAATTTCATACTATAAATGTTTTTTATATATAATTTGTAATAATTTTTAAAGTTTATTATAATAATGTTTGCTGGTATTTGAAAGCATTTTTGGATATCAGTATTTTCCATGCATTCCAGTGACACAAGTAGAGGCATTTTTAAAAATGTTATTTTTAAAGAGAGTAAAATTAAACTAAGCAGATCATGTGAAAACAATGTAAGAGACACAGATACTAAGACAACCAGGGCTCTTCCCTGTCTATCATATTGTCTCTTGTTTTCTTCCAAATACTTGTCCATATCTTTACATGCAGAGAATTCATACAGAACAACATAGTGTAAAAACTAATTTGAAGAGCCTGATGAAGGCATTTTAGGTCTTTAAGACCAGACACTAAGAGAGTCAACAATGGCTGTCATACTATCTCTCCTCTTCAAAATAGCTGTTCATGATTTCATGTATGTTGAAATTAATCAAAACAAAACAGACTAAAATCACTGGGAACAAGGAATAATAGTATTGCTGGATCTTACATCATGATGCTATGGAATTAGCACTGGGTATCTTAGTGTCTCTTTTTCTTCAGAGTAGCTATTCATTTTGTCATGCATTTTATAATCAACTCATAAACTTTTTAGAATTTCTACACATCCATAAGTCCTTTCTCTATTATAGGGAAAAACAAAACAAAATAAGACAAAACAAAACAAATTCCTAGATGAACGTGAAACAGAAAGACATATCAATAACAATAGCAAAGAGCCCAGGACACTGACAATATAAGCCTTCAAAACAAGGTGGTAGGGGCATAACTAGGATTGTTATTTTACATAATGATCTTCAAGAGTTCCTCAGATCACCATACAATAATATACACAATTTTTCCAATCCTATGAATGTTATCTATTTTGTTCCAAGGACTCATGTAGCACAATCATCTTAGTTATCCTAAGTGTGTTTATATAATTTTAGACATTTTTTATTTTCCATTCCCTTTTCTTTTTCCTCATTTTCCCTGAGATATTTTTTTTCCTTTAAGCATTGAGTTTTTTGTCTCTTATTACTCTTCCCATTTCTTACACTAGGGAGACCATATGGTATTTACACATGTGAGTTTGATTTATTTCATTTATTAGTATGGTCTTGATTTGTATTCATTTACTTAATAAATATCAATGTGATCTTTATAGCAGAGTAGTACTCCACTGCACAAAAAAGTCACATCTTTTTTATCCATTCCTCAGTTGATGGGCATTTAGGTTGTTTCTAAGATCTGGCTATTACAAGTTGTGCTGCTATAAACATGAGTGCACATATATCACTGTGGTATGATGGGTTCAGTTCTTCTGGGAATATGCCCAGAAGTGGAATACCTGGATCAAATGGGACCTCCAATTCCAGCTTTTTGAGGTATCTCCAGACTAACCTTTACAGTGGTTGTACCAGTCTAAACTCCCACCAACTGTGCAGGAGAATTCCTTTTTCCCCAAGCCTCTCCAGCATTTGTTGTTGGTTGTTTTCTTAATCCTGGCCATTTTTCCTGGAGTGAGATGGAACCTCAGTGTTGTTTTAATTGGCATTTCTCTAATGACCAGTGATGCTGAACAATTGTTCATGTATTTATTTGCCATTTGTATTTTTTCATCTGAGAACTGTGTATTCATCTCAGATGCCATTTTTGGATTGGGTCCTTAGGGTCCTTGAGTTTCAGGGATCTGCTTTTTTTTTTTTTTTTTTTTTTTTTTTTTAAATTCATGATTTAGACAGAAATCCTTTGTCTGAGGGACAGTTTACAATGATTTTTTCCCCCAGTTTGTGGGTTTTCTTTTCATTATGCTGGAGATTTCTTTTGACATGCAGAAACATTTTAATAAGATGTGATCTGGGTTATTGATTCTGGGAACTATTTCCCATGCAGTTTGATTCTTGTTCATGAATTCTCTACATACCCCTATGTAGAAGCATTTTCTTTAGAAAAATTATACATGGTCATGGAGTGATGAGGAAGCAGTTTGTGACCTCTAGTTGACCTCTTTGAAGGAAGAATTTAGAGGTATTTGTAAAAATTTTAAAGAATCTAAAACTTCTAACTAAATATATTTTTCAAAATATATATTCTTCCCTATAATATTCATTTATTCACATAGTATGGTGATATGTCTGCACCTTTGAATCTGTTAATAACAAATTTTTTATGGAAAAAAGGTAAGACAAAATTTCATAACATAATAGAAGAAAAATAATAGTTAATGCATTGCATATTGTTATCTTTAAAGTACCAGTTACTCTGAGTACAAGATATGGGTTTATAAAATTATTAAATCAATATAATGCAAATCTTTTTTGATAAACTAAAAGGCATTAATAGAATAACTAACTTGGACTTTTTCACTTTTGTTTACCTTATTTACCTTTTCCCAATTGTAGATGCTTTATCCTTTGAACAATTTCTTCTCATTTCACAATATCGATTATACATTTTATACCTTATATATTTATACAGATTTCAACACCAGGGAGATAATATGATGTTTACACACATGAGTGTGATTATTTTCACTTAGGAGTATGGTCTCAAGTTGCATCCATTTACCGAAGTCTCCTGTTGATAATTTATGGCTGAATAATATACTACTGTATAAAAATACCACATATTTTTATTCATTTGTATGGCTTCCAATATTTAGTATTATAAGTTGCACTGTTATAAATATGGATGTACATACATTTAAGTGGTATGATATTATTAATTCTTCTAGAAAAATACCTAAAGGGACGTGACTAGGTCAGATTACATTTTTAATCCTTGTTTTATGAGGAATGTCCACACTGATTTCCACAATGTTTGCACTCCCACACACAGTGGCAAAGCATTCTTTTTTCTCCAAAGGCCCTCCAGCATTTGTTATTGGTTGAATTCCTTATAATAGTCATTTATTCTGCAGTGAGCTGGAATATAAAAATTGTTTTAATTTCTGTCTCTGGAATGAGCAACAAAGTTGACCATTTTCATACATATATATTTGCTATTTGTATTTCTTCATCTGAGAAGTGCATATTTTTCTCAGATGCCATTTTTGGATTTGGGAATTTGGATTTTGGATTCTGTATGTTTTCTAGATCTTTGTGTAAGGGAAAACTGGCTAACTTTTGTTCCCACTCTGATTTCTCTTTTTGGTACATTGGTGATTTCTTTTGATGTGCAAAAGCTGTTAATAAGGCGAGATTCCAGTGGTTGATGCTTTGAAGACTTTCCTGTATAGTTTGGGTTTTGTTCTTAAAGTCTCTGCTACACCTTGTCTTCAAGATTTCTACCAAATTTCTCTTCCAGTAGATTTAGCATTTCTGTTTTAATATTTAGATCTTTGATTCATTTTGACTTTTGTTTGGTGTATGGTGATAGACACAGGTCTAGTTTTAGTCTTCAGCCTGTAGAGAGCCAGTCTTTTTAGCACCATTTATTAGAAAGGCTGTCTTTCTTCCAATGAATCTGTTTGTACCCTTTGTCAAAGATAAAATAATTGAGTGTATTTCTGCATCTTCTATGGTGTTCCACTGATTTCTCAGGTCTGTGTTTTTGTACGTACCACGCTGATTTCTTTTCTTTCCTTTTTTGGTACTTGGTATTAACTCAGGAACTTGAGCTTTCCAGGCAGGCACTTATGCCACTGAGCTATGTCTCAGCCCTTGCCATGCTGGTTTTATCAAAAAAGCTTTGTAGTATAATTGCAAGTCAGGGATTGTGATGCCACCTGCCTTGCCTGTTTCCCAGAATTACTTTTGCTAGGCTAGGTCTCTTCTGATTTCAGTTGAACCTTAGGAATATTTTCTCTAGTTCTGTGTGGTACGTTAATGATATTTTGATTTGGAATGTGTTAAACTGTATATAGATTTTGGGAGTGCAGCCATTTTCATAGTTCTACCTATGGATGAGAAAGTGATAGCTTTCCATTTTCTAATATCTTCATCAATATGTTTTTCAAAGTACTGAAATTTTGTATTTAGAGATGTTTGTTAGACTGATTCCTAAATATTTCAGTTTTTGGATGCTATTGTAAAAGGCATGGTGTCTCTCATTTCTCAGTGAGTTTGTTGTTTGTGTATAGGAATGCTATTCATTTTTGTGTGTCATCTTTGTTCCAGCTACATCACTGAATTTGGTTGTTAAATCTAGAAGTCTTGTGCTGGAGTTTTTGTGTTCTTCTATGTAGAGTATTGTGTCATCTATAAGTAATTTAAGTTCTTCCTTTCCTATGCTTATTCATTTTATTTCTCTCTTGTATTGTTTCTCTGGTTAATGTTTTCAGAAGTATATTGAATAGGAGTGGGGATAGTGGATATCCTTGTCTTATTTCTGATTTTAGTTGAAAGCTTTCATTTTTTTGTCCCTGTATATGATGTTGGCTGTTGGCTTGTCATAGATGTCTTTTAAGGGAGTAAAATAAGAACCAATTATTCCTATTTCCTTAGGGTTTTATCATGAATGAGTATTGGATTTTTTCAGAAGTTTTTTTTCTACATTTCCTGAGTGATCATGTGATTTTTGACTTCAGCTCTGGATATGGTGTATGATGTTTATTGATTTGTGTATATGAAACAGATTCTGCATCCCTGAGATAAATCCCACTTTGACATTTTCTATGATCTTTTGAAGATTTGTTATATTCTGTATGCTAGTTTCTTACTGAGGATTTTTGCATCTATGTACATTAGGGAATTGGCCTACAGTTGTCTTATTTGGTTGGGTATTTCTCTAGTTTGGGTATCAAGGTGCTATTTGATTCCAGGGATGAGTTAGAGAATATTGTTCCCTTTTCAATTTCATTGAAGATTTGCAGAGTATTACCCTAAATCTGTTCTAAATTTCCCATATAATTCACCAGTGAATTCATTA